TCTGGAGATCTTTTTCTTTACCACAGAGATACTTCCATCTGCTCTTCCTAGTTCCCAGAGGTGCTGTGGAAACAACTCACTTAGATGTTTACAGAGTGCCTATTATAGGCCGAACAGGTGTGAATGTGGTTTGCAACATGAAAAAAAGAATATGGATAACATATAAAATTTGACCAAATCTTTCCATTATCAATTTAGTAAATATTCTGCCTCCATGCCCTTGGACTCTGTGGCTCTTCTTTAAAAGTGGGACTTCCATACGCGAAATGTGAAATTTAACTTAAATAGGATGCAAAAGTCTTCAAGATAGTGAACATTTCTTGAGCTTCCAAACTCTTGTGAGAGAGCATTTCCATCCAAAGGAAGGAGCAAGAGGAGAAGCAAGCTCTGGGCTTGGAAAGTGGCCATATATTCTGGCATTTCCAGCCAAAACATGTTTAGGTTCTTTGCCATTTAGGCCCCTACACATTAGAATCAGAGTGGTAGATGCTCTAACAAATGGAAGTGAAATTTTCACACACACGCAAAACAAAAACAAAACAACAGCAAAAAAGTGAGGTTCAGGGCCAAAAGCACCCAACACCAACCCAAAACCCAGGTACGTAAATGGGAGTCCTGAACGCCAAAGGGCAGCTTGACCAAGACCTGGCATTTTGAGTTGGCTGGAGTGTGGAGCTCACTCTGATGGTGTGCTTTTCTTACCCATGGGGTTAGCTCATACCTGGGAGCACTGGAAGGAGATTAATAGGATATAACTTGTTTCAGGAACAATAAAAATCATATGATGCCTGGAAAAAGGAAAATAAAAAGGCTTGGCATCATAGGTAAGTCAAGGAAAGATCCTACTTAAAGAAAATAACACATGATACTGATGATGACAGATACAGAGGGCATTAAGGAGAAGTTGAGCTTCCACTTAGTTTTCCTAAAATAAATCTTGGTGACCTCACAAAGAATAAAATCACCGATGTGTTTCCACCATGTTCCAATAGTTCTTTGGTCTTTGGTGCTTCTCAAAGCTCACCAGTAGCTTGTATCATGGGAAATATTTGTTGTCTGCCCTTGTGCCTGCTTCTTGGTTTAAAGGATTTCCTAAAGGTGTTACTGGGATTTGTCTGAATGTTCTACTTGGACATATTCAATGACTATGGCCATCCTGGGGGGGTCACAGGGCACCAACTATTAACCGCTCTTTTTTGGCTGTTGAATGGCCATATCCCTTATTTCTCTTACATGTTCTCCAAATTCTCCTTTTTCCACATCACACTCATTTTCAATCCCTGAGAGGCTTCAAATTTATGATTATCCTGGCTTTTCTGAGTCCTCATCCTTACAATGGCTCCCTGAGTTCAGATCTTTTGGGTCTTGGGTGGCATAACACATTCTCAGATGTTATATCCTTTATAAAGGTATCCCAAGAAATAAATGAAAGGGGAGCCCTCATTTTCTGCTATGCAAAGCATAAGAGAAATACTTCAAAACTCCACCTTAAGATGAAAAACACTGCTGGAAACTAGATCAGCCATGTTTTAAACTGGGTAGTCTCTTTCTTCACCTGATACTCTGAGAACAGTATTTTTCAGAGCACAGATGTTACTAGAAAAGAAAAGAAAAAAAGATTCTATGATCAAATAAATCTGGGAAATGCTGGATTAAATAAAATTGGAGAGCTTTCTTCCTTATATGACTTTTTCAGTCCTTTGATCTGCTAATTACACCAAGACGCTCCAAGACTGAATTATAATATGCAGCACTTTCTCCCAAAGTTTTGCCCACTGGATCTTTGTTTCGAGACTATCCTCATGGGACTAATGTTCCAAAAGTTACTTCGGGAAATGTTAGTCTAGACTTATAACCCTTGGATCCAGTTTCTCCTGAGGAAAAAAAAATCATAGTGAAGGAGAGAGGGACAGGGAAAAATGGAAAAAGAATCGAATTCTGCAAGCCTGGCAATACTTAAATTGAATTTCCAAAGGAAAAATGAGTTTCTCTGGAAAAGTACAAATGGGATGGATTTTTTATATTTCTTCATATTCATGTTCTGATCTCTAATTAAATCTCAGAAGATAATGTCAACAAGACATTGGAAGAGGTAGGCCCTCTTCCAGAACACATTATTGTCAACCCTCAGGGCCACAGAAAAGCTGGGGCTCGAAGATTGATGAGAAGGGGATTGGGAATCCTGGAAGAGATGTCTCCCCTTTAAATTAGCTCAGTTAACATGGGCACATTATGGATATTTAGTCCAAATCATATTCAAATCATCTGTTATTTAGAATCCATTGCTGTCACATACTGATACAAGGCTGTCATTTTCTCCTGAGAAGTAAACCACTCCATACATATTAGTACATAGGCTTACACGATTAATTATGTGCAGAGTTTTTAATCAATTGGGAAAGACTTCCTACCTTTTTAAGACTGTTACACTCTGGGACTTGGATTTATAACAATGCATGAATTGATAGGAGTTGTTGATTATGAATCTCAAATCTCCAGTATAGCAGGGATCATCCTTTCCACAGACCTAGGACAACTAGTCCCAAAAGGCCTTCCTATCACTACATTCAACATACTCATACCAGGACTCTTTGCTTAACTCTCCTTCTCTAACTGAAAGAGTGTAGCAAAGGAGTCTTATAGGTTTGCTGATTCCAGTTTAAAACCAAAAATTATCCTCCCGGCCAAGGGTAAGTCACTTCCTGGTGCACCTACTTCAGAGTAACTTTCTAAGTTATTGACTCCTAATTAAATTATAACTACCTTTTATCTGTCATGTTCTGATTGACATGATCCAGGCAAGAATTAAATGAGACATCAGATGACCTGAATTTTTGTCCCAGGACTAGACAACAAACTCCTTGAAGACATAGTGGCTGGTATAGAATATATGCTTCAAGTATTATTAGTTGAATGAGCAAATAACCGGCAGCAGGACTCTGGTCAAGTTCACCCCCATCCTTTCAGGGCCTGGATGAGATTATCTGCTTCTATGTCCATGAGTTGCTTAGAGTGGGCACTGAAATGAAGGATGTGAAAGTGAAAGGGCATCATCATCTTCCTAACAGTAGCATTGAGAAAGGTGTGTCAGAGGTCCTGATGACATATCTTAGCCAGACACTCCTCAAAGAATGCTAACTCTTCTGGAAAGGGCACCACCCCTGAGCCATGATTTCTGCCCTGTGACAACCTCTCGTGTCAGTGGACAAGTGTAAGAGGGTCAACCAAGCAGGCAAGTGTTCTAGTTTATGATTAAAGACCTTTGAGAAAGTAACAAAAGATAAGCTTTTGTAAGAAATATCATTCGCAAGGCAGATAAATTTGATCTGCTGCCCTGTTGGTAGGAGGACATATTAGCATATGTGTCTCTGTGATGAAACAAGCCTGTCTGTGATCTCAACACATCCTTGTGTGATCCAATCCCCCAGTGGGGCTCCAAATCCTTCTTCCAGCTTCTATAGTTCCTGCTTCTCTTGGAGGAAGCGTTCTGGGAGCACAGATAAAACCTCACACTCGCCCTTGATGGGAGAAGGTTAAGAAACAATGGGTAGGGACTAAGAATGAGAATGAAGAGATCTGGTTAGCAGGATGCCAGTCATATTGCAACATGTTAGGGGGGGGATGGTACTTGTTGTGAGGAATGAGAATTGAAGAAATAAAACCAAATCAAACTAAAACTACAGTCATACAAGATAATGACATAAAAATAATTTTTCTCTCCACTTTGCTGATCTCCATATTGAGACCAAATTTTAGCTAATAACATAAACTGGTACCTTTCTGTACTTGGCCTCAGATACTGAGGTGTCCTGTGTGTGAACACCTTCTGCAGCACTGAGGTCTCTGAAGACAAATGTTTCCCAGTACAAGGGTAAGGCCAAGCTGGGGGTGAGGGTATGGGACTTCCTGGTTGGAGCGACCTCACTGCTTGCTCTGGGGAGCCTTTTTATGTCATTTACTATAAAAATGGCTCCCCTTGGAGTTGTACTCCTGGCAAATCATCTTGGACACCTAAAATCTTAACCTCCTTTGGGATGTTAGTAATATGAAGTGAAAATGGAAGCCAAACCATCTGAAGCATATTAGGCACCTCTCCCTCCAACAAACAATTTAAATCCTCTTCGCATAGGTAATTCCAATAAGTCCTCCCCTCACATATTCAGAAATATATAACAAAGGCATTCACACTTATCCAGATGATTGTATTCCATTACCTATGCCTCACCCCTCTTGAAATTTTCTAAGTTACACTGGGATCACAAAGAAAAGGTAATAGTATGATCAAGGTGGAAATACTGCTACTATTGACTATATATATCATCCTGCTAGTTTGCATTTAATTTAATAGTTTCTGTGAAACTCACCTTCAAGAGTTTTAATATCGATGCTATAAGTAGTTTTTGTATTTGGTGGGCTAATGCAAAATAGTTAAAATCACAGGAAATTATTGTTTTTGTCAATCTATCTTTTCACTGGCTTTACTTAGTCAAAGGAGAAGATAGTGTCCAAATCAAATAAACCAGACCCCTTGACTTCACTGGCTAAAATGCAAGCAAAACTGATTTTTTTCATATTGTTTTACCCCACTGCTAATTTGCATCACTCAGGAATTTTCTAGAAAAGTGCTCAGCAAACTCAAAACTTCTCTGGTTGCCAAGCTCATGGAAACAAAGTGCTTTCTCTTAAAACTCTGAAAAAGACATTCCAAAGTAACCCACCATTAGATACTGAGCCGGCAATAGATGACATATCTATGAGAAGAAAGGAGGGGAGGAAAGAAAATGCATAACATAAACAAGAACAGACAAAACCTTAAAGAGGAAGGAGAAAGGAAAACATTTAGATTCCTTGAGTGATGGAAATAAATACCAAAGCTATTAGTTTCAGTTCAAAGAACGTATCACTTTATGCTGTTTATTATTTCTTGAGGATTATTTATTTTATCTTAAAATATCCAAAGGGTAAAAGGGGTCCTGGAGGTAAGCGGCAATGAAACTGACCTGGTCGGGAGAGGGCCTGTGATTGGAATGTTGCGACCTCCCAGGAGATCGGTGGTGGTGGTGATGGTGGTGGTGGTGGTAATGGTGGTGGTCCTCGTCATAGTTGTCTGCCATCAGCTTCATTCTGTTCTGGGTCTGTGCACACAAAAATCAGGGGACATTCCATCAGGAGATAGAAGACCTGCCAAAGAGACTCACGGCATCATTATAGCACCTAGAGGGCTCCCTCTGTTCCTAATCCAGAAATTTTTATATTTAGTCAATGACACTTAATGAAGAATGCACCATGCTTTGGTGAAAGAGGCTTTGTCACATCTGTGAAGCTACTATGTTCTTGGACCTACATTTGTAGATGTAAATGTACTTCTCCCAGATGATTTAAAAGGGAGAAAGAATGGACAATTCCTAAGGTGCATATCATACAATCATAGAGATCCAGGGGAAGCTTAGGATCACACACTGCCAACAATCATGTCCTACACTCTAAAGCAAGCAAGAGAAGGAAGCCCTAAATGAAAAGATGGGAAAGGACTGGATGGAGACTCAGAGCCACAGACAAATGATGGTTTTGAGAGACAAAGCAGAAAAATCTACTTGAAAGCTGCCAAATGCAAAAAATGTTAATGGACATGGTTTGCTGCTATGATGACTTCTGGTAAATGGGCATGCTATGGACATTTTAACTGATAAACTTTTGGGGGAAGACTGAGCAAAAGGAGCAGAGTCAATGGTGAAGAGCTGACTGCTCTAATTTACTTCCCACTGTTTGTCACAGGAGGCAACTAGATGTCATAGTAAAACCCCTTGGGCCACGGAATTGTTTTATTGTATTGTTTTGCCATACAGGGCAATAACAAAAGCAGTGAATTCACTTAACAGAGTCACAGAATTTAGAAAAATACCTAAAGACCATGGAAAAAGGAAGATAAAAATATCCATCCCAGAAAGCCTACAAATGTGGGTCTAGAGATAAGACTGTCTGGATTCAAGTTTTATTGATTATACTATTACAGTTGTCCAGATTTTTCCACCTTTGTCCTCCCCCACCCAGTACCCCCAACTCCCTCAGGCAAACCCCCTTCATTGTCCATGTCCATGGAACATGCACATAAGTTCTTGGGTTAACTATTTCTATATGCCTCAATTTCCTCAACTCTAAAATGGGAGTAATAGTGCCACCCTCCTAATGATGAACTTCAAGTATCAGTTCAGGACCTGGCATACAGTGGCTCACAATAAAAGTCAAGTGCTATTATTACTATTGTTGCTCTTGTTTACTTTAAGGCACTTCTCCTTCTTGATGCCTATTTTCTGTGCCTGAGACAGTTCCCCCAGCCACCTTGCCTCACCTCTAACTTCTGGGTCTGGACAACTCACAGCCTCTTCCTGACTGCACCCTTGAGGCTAGGTAATGTGTACCTCTGGCTTACTACCACTCTGTAACCATGGATTTGTCTGTCCATCTTTCTTCCATCTTCCTCACCCCAGAATCTAGCACATGGTCTAGCAAATGTAGATGCACATGCATGTTGCTACAATGAGAGAAGGGAAGAAGGGCCATGATTTTTGATGGGTGCTTCCCTTCTAGGGGTAAGATGAGATTTATTTCCAGCCAGAGAAGGTCACTGAGAGTTGAAAATATCTCATGAATCGGCATCACAAGCTCACTGGTAGCTAGGGATGACAACAAGCCATCAGCACTTTAAGAGTGTTGGAAGTCAGAGGCTAGCAACACCTCCAAACCAGTTGGAATTTTATTATGTGATATAAATAATACACTGATAATAATTCTGGACCCCGCATAGTACATTCTTACAGTATTTTTCACACACAATCTAACTTATCCTTAACACTTTCCTAGGAGGAATTATTACTATCTCCATTTGCAATCAAGACATAGATTTCAGCCGCCAGAGCTTCTTTCCTGACATAGAACATGGGGGTTTTCTGGGAATTCCAATTCTTAATTGCTAGATTTTTCTCTTTGCCATGCCACTAGCAAAAATGGCAAACAGCTGAACAGGTAAAAATAGCTTTCTCATACATGCCTTGATTCTGCTAAGTTTTGAAAACACCTCACATCTCTATTCTACCTGCCAAAGGATGTCTCATGATTTACTCATTTCATTTTTTGAAGTGTGTACAATATTTGACCAGCCCCAGAGCAGATGTAAAAAGGTGCATTATATGGATAACATCAATAAAATTGGGGTGAAATAACAAATTAAAAATCCCAGGCAACCTTTGGCAGCTGATAGCATTTCTATCCTTCACTTGGACACTTCAAGTATCAGAAGACCCGATGGACCAGTTATGTCTTGTGAGAAACAGAAGGTCAGTGGGGCTGTTGCCAGCCGAGTCCTGAGATTCCCTTATACAGCCTACCCTTGTGTAGGAGATTCTGAAATTCAGTGTTCACACGTAAAATTCCAGTATTGTTAGGAGCCTGTACTTTTGAACTTGTGAACTAATAAATCTGGAATTGTGTCTTCTAATAGAATTCCAAGGGCCTAAAGGGAGTTATAAGATCTGTTATGGTCAATAAGGAAGGGACTTGCCCAAGAATGAACGATGGAACCTAAATGAACAAATAATAACTGCTATTGTAAATATCATAATGTCCTTATCCTTTGGGGAAGCTCCTGTGATTTTATGAGATTATTTTCTTACCAGCGACAAGCCTAAAGTTCCCTACCTTTGAACTGTATCCCATAAAAGAATGTACAAGCTAAACAAGATGCTATATGCAGTCCTAAATGTGTCTGCTGAAATGAGGTGTTGGAGAGTAGGCATGTCATGGGATAAAGACTGTAAATGAATGATGTCATCTTTCCAATTTGGTGCTGAAATATAAATAAACCACGTTGTTCATGTGAATACCAGATCTGGGGGAAATGTACACAGAGCAATTGTGAGCGGAAGAGGCTTCTTTTGATTAGTCTCGGCTGGAAGAGAAGAGCATGAAACAGAGATGAAAAATGAGAGTTTGGCCTGATACTCTAGACTACTTTTATTTATCTTGCTGTAACATATCCCCTAAACTGTGACCGATTTCTTACAGACTGGTTGCTAGTTTTTCCTCCTACAAGAAAGTTTGACCAATCCTGCTTGCTAATTCTCAGATTGAAAATAAATCTCCTTTAATTTGTTTTTTTATCTATACCACCTATCCTCATCACTACCCAATTGTATTGGTTTCCTAATACAATACACCAAACTGGTCTGGAAGGATAGGAAGCCATGAATACGACTCCCTAAAGGTTGGTGGGGGAAAAAAGCCTGCAGAAAAAATTCAACAAGCTTTGGAACAAGAATACCATTTGTTCAAGTCACTTCTGATGCATTTACTGGGTGATTCCATGCATACTGGTTCATGTCCCCATAGCCATCAGACAACACAAGGTGCCTACCACAAAGATTTAAACAGCAAATCTTTTGGGCAGTCATAGCTGAATTCCCAGGAAAACTAATACAGGGTTGGAGAGGGATAGTTTTCCAATGTGCTGCACTTGGGAACTCAGACTCATTTAGCAATTCACTGAAGCCCATTTTAATTTATTTTTCAGTGTCTACCAAATGACTGACCTGACACTTCACTTTTGGCTGTGTTATATACATTTTATGACATTATGTTATGACTTCTGAGACTAATCTAATCAGATTTCATTTTCTACTTCCTTTTCCTTCCAGGCACCATCTTATTTCTCCAGGGCAATTGGACCCTATAAGTTCTCCTGTTGTACACTTGCCTTCCATTGAACACAACCTGTAGCCAGAATGATACTCCCTGAAGTGAGCAACTTGAAGGCAGTTACTCCCTGGCTTCAAGTTCCTTAGAGGCTCCCCATTGCCCTCAGGAAAATAGCCCCATTTACTTTGCAGCTTATAAGGCTCTTGGGAGGTCACTGCTCTTCACTTCCCAGCCTCACACCTGCTTCCCCCTCTCCCTTACCCTGGATATGTTGTCTCTGTTCCTGTCATGCCTTCATCCTCTGTCTTTACCTGAGTTATACCCATTAGTTCTTCTGGTCTTAGCTTCAACACTCTCACTTCCCGAAGTGCCGTCCCTAAGCCCACCTCAGAAAAGAGTAAGTTCTCTTCCACTGCCTTCCCCAGAATCCCGAACCCTCCCTCAACCCCTATCCCATCACAGCACTTCCCTCAGTGAATAGTAAATAACTATGTGCTTTCTTGGCTTTCTCCACCACTAGATTGAAAATATCTTGAGGGAAATGCTATGTCTTAATCACACGTATACTACCCACCACCTAGCACAGAATCTGATGTATAAGTAGTAATTAATGTCTGTTGAATATATATATGTGAGAATGTATGAAGGAATGAATGGAAGGGGTATAGGCTACTGGAACAAATGAAAGGAAAAATACACAATCAGCATCTAGGATGGGCCAGTTGAGTGTGTAACTTCCCATATGATAGTTTAACTGTTCCTGTTGTATATTTGTTTGTGATTACTGTTATTCCTGGAAGTGGAGAGAGCAAGATAAATGTATAGCTTTGGGCTATTGGAAAAGTAAAAGTGGTCTTCTCCAGGAAATACTCCACTCTTTAGTAAAATGGATCCAGTAATATACTCCATCATGTCCCTTATTACTTGTTTCATTAATGATAAAGAGTATTGCTTATTATGGGGTTCATTTTGCTACTATCCCCTAACCTCTGGAAGAGCATGGGACTTAGAATACTTTTGTTAGCACCAAAAACCAACCATAGAAAACTGAAACTTGCTTTATTAACTAAAATCCCTGATGAACACCATCTGTGAAAAGATGCCATTTAGTCTATCTCTCTTGACATTTCTGAAGAGTGTATCCAAGGAGCTCTTGAAACAAAATGAAAATCCTTGATTGACCAGTAATAGACTCAACAGCTTAATGGCAATATGTAGCTATAAAGTGTAATATTAAAACTGCCTTTAAATATTTTAGCAAGGTGACAATAACAAACTATGCTTTGATCAGTCATCTGGATCAAGTTAACAGTAAAATCTTCATGAATATGGTTTAAATGAGAAAAATATCATAAGATTTGTTGCTATGGGATATAGAGATAATAGCATACAATAGCAATTACACTTTATCCTATCAGGTTTTCTTTTGTCCCTCATCCTTCCC